TCACAAGTGGAGTATTATCGCTTTCACCACAGTGCTCTGCTATAATTAAATATCTAAATAGTTTTATTATGGTTTATGTAGGGAATAAATTATGTTATGGCAACTTTACAAAAAAAAAAAGACAAGTTTAAAGAAAGATGAGACAAAAGGGAGATATTGACAAAACTTAACCCGCTAACATCTAAACCTCTTTGATATGGGATTTAAATGACAGGTCCTGATCAAAAATAACACCTCAGATTCTGCCTCACCTTCCAGAGATAAACCAATCATATTTAGAGTAGTGCTAATCTCATTTTTAATGGAATTAATCTTTTTTATAAAGTATTCCACAAAAATCATCACTGCTAAGATGAAGATGGGATAGACAGTTCAACAGAGTTATGGCTCTGGGTGAGCTGCTGAATTATTAAAAAGAAATCTAGGATTATTCCTATTTTTCTGTATTAATGAGGAGAGATGATGAATATTATTTTTATTGATGGTCTAAATGCTAAAGCTACTTAGTGAAAATGTTGGGCAGTTGCTCCTCTTTTCCTGACCTCATAGCTACATTTTCCTCCTATAGCTTCAGAACAATTGCAAAGCTGCTCTGCAGAGTTGGTCATGCATGCTGTTCTCATGAGGCTATAATTAGCTGTTTGTCTGCCTAGTTTAGAACTTTGTTGTTTGTTCCAAGCAGTACCTTGATGTACTGTTCCACATTATTTTCCCATTACATTAAAAGCTGAGTCGTGGAGTTAAATAAGTAAACATATCTGTGAAATTATGTTTGGCAGATATTTAATGGCATCTTTTCTTCCCAGGTGGAAATGGAGCAATTATTTTTATTTATTTATTTTTTATAATAGCGTGACTGAACAGCATTTAGGATATTTTTGTTCAGACTTCCACTGACTTCAGCTTTGTTACCACAGCGACTGTCTCCCTGGGTGGGCCTGAGGAAAATCAATGTGTCATACTGGGGTTGGGAGGACATGTCTCCCTTCACCAATAGCAGCTTGCGCTGGCTGCCTGGAGAGCCCAGTGACTCTGGTTTTTGTGCCTACTTGGAGGAGCCTCAGGTCTCAGGACTTCGGGCCAATCCTTGCACTGCAACTGCTCATGGCCTCATTTGTGAAAAAGCTACTGGTAAGCCACAAATAACACACAGATTGTTGGATATTATGAAATTAAACATGCTTTTACCTATAGAAGGTTTTCTTAAAGTCCCATTCCTTTTTTTTTGTTTGTAGGGAACCCCAATCATAGCAGCCGTACGTCATGCAAGAAGCCTTGCTCTCTGCACACAAACTGTGCCAACTGCACCAGCCAGGGCACGGAGTGCATGTGGTGTGGCAGCACGCAGCGCTGTGTGGACTCAAATGCATATGTCATCTCATTCCCCTATGGCCAGTGTTTGGAGTGGCAGACTTCAGACTGTGTGGGTAAGTTTCTCCAGGCAAATTAAATGTAGGTGAGTTTCCCGGAGGTCTATAGTCTAACGTCAGGGCAACAGACAATAAGTTTCCCTAGATTGGCTTCTGTAATTGTTCGATATTCATTATGGAGAGAAGAGAGGTTACGGGAAAGCAAATGGCTTAAAGTCGAAGGTGTTTGAATCACAGGGAAAATCGTATTTGTTTCCTGTAATTGACTATGGAATCTGCTTTGGCTCTTAATGGCCAATTACTTTTGCTTAAACTCGCACCTAACTGCTGCTGTCCCTCCTGACTGCGCTTTAGCTGGTCTCTTTACTGTTTGATGCTTCTAAGTAATGTTGCGTTAAGGATTGGTGGCTGGGGTTTAATGGGAGCTAGGAAAATCGGGGGGATCTTTCTTACCTGCTCTTTCTTCTGTTTAACAATTTGCAGAGAGTACTAAAATAATGGGATAGAACCCTAGGAGAGGGAGCCCAGATGTTGGTCAAAAAGCCAATGCGCTCTTATAAATTAGCGTATCATCGTAAATTTAGTCTAGCTGTGACAACTTTCAGTGTGTCTAAAGGAGCTGACAAGAACCATGAAGAGTTTTCAAAGAAACTCGTCTTATTCAAGGTTTACGCAAAAATGATCCACCTAAACAATTAAGAAAAGGCAAACAAACAAAAATAACAAAGACCAGTGGTCCAAATCAGATTAAAAAGTAGACACATATGAAGGAGAAAATAGGCTTTGACTACCTAGCAGTAAGCGTACTGGGGATCTCTTTCACCTGAAGGTCGACATTGCCTTTCAGCTAGATGCCGGTTCTTGATGTATGAATTATTCCCCCTGTTGTGTCACATTGAGAAAAATCTCTGATCAGTTTAGCGAGTAACAAATTTAGGGAGCCCAGGAGTGCTGTCTCAAATTCATTTGTGTCTGCTGGTGTTGGGCAACACAGAAATGCTGTTTGCTGTGGATATTTGTCTTGAGGAATTAGTCTCTCTTGGCATGAAGGACAAGGAAGGTTGTTCTAAAAAAACCTTTTGTGTTTCCCTTCCTTTCTCTTTGCTTGGGTGAATTCGGAGAGATGTTTCAATCTTGGATATTTGTTCCCTCTTTCTTTGTTCTTTTTTTAACGTGAGTGTGTTCAGTGTGTGCAGTAATGTATGCGTTGGGTTGGGCCTTCTATATAAATACATCTAAAACCCCAAGAACAGGGGAAATGTACAGCAGTGGTACAATGATTACTGTTATTCAAAGTTTTTTTTTTTACTTACTTGAATTTAAACATGTATTGTTTTTGTTACAAAGGTTAAATTGTTTTTTCCACAGAGAGTTTTTTCGACAAATATTGCCTTTTTTTTACTGACAAATCAGAGTCCAGGCAATACGTAATGGCTCTTCATTAGAGTGGGCTATAAAACTGTTTCCTTAAGGTTAAATTAACTATTTAAGTTTCAAACATTCTCAAGTCATGTTGAATTTCTTTAGGCAAGGCAAGGCAAGGCAAGGCAAATGTATTTGTATAGCACAATTCAGTACAAAGTCAATGCAAAGTGCTTTACATGATTAAAATACAGGAAAATAAAAGAATCAAAGCAAGTAGGAAAAAATAAAAAAAATAAATTTAGCTGTAGTACGCAAAATCAGATTTGGTGTTTTCAGGGTTTTACAAAGCTAGCAAAATAGTTTAAGCGCTGAACACACTGAGTCCGATTTTTCGTTCTAGTCGACAGAAAATCGCTCCTTACGAGGCCATGGCTATTCGTGGTCATTAGGGGACAATGGGGATGATCACACCCGACACGATTTTCTGCAAGAGAGCTGGCGTAGCTCTTAGTCACACTATGCAGTAATTTAGCTGCAGTTTCATGGGTTAGACAGGAACAGACACGCTGTTAAAAAGTAACACACAGCCGCTTTTGGGGAAAGGCAAAATAAAATCTGTCAATCGCAAGAGAAAAAAAGTCAGGATTGGAATTGCAAATCCAAATAAGGCAGGTGGGACAGACTCATGTATAAAAAATAAATGAAACATTAAAAGGAGCACTTTACCCATGATAGGATTTCAGGAGGACAGAGAACGTATAGAATAGTGATCCTCTTTGAGCCTCGCAAAAACAGCGAGGGAAAGAAAGCGCAGTTCATCAATATTCACGAAAAAGAAAAGAGAAACTTCAGGAGGATAGAAAACAGATATTTTAAAATAGTGATCCTCCTTGAGCCTCACAAAAACCAAAACACGGGGCAGACAGAGCAGGTAAGTAAATCTCATCATTCTTTATCTCTCTCTGAGAATCACCTCTCACTGCCTCAGTCAGCATATAAACCATCCAACATCCTGTATTGCTGAGTTTTCCTTATTTAGACATAGATGACATTATGTTTTTAATAGAGGCATATTATTATTCGCTATCTGTTCTGGTTTGAGATGCCACGCAAAATCATTTAGGGGTGGCTTTGCTTTATTTATATTTTTATGCTAAGCAGTATCTTTTAAATTTCATTTTTAAGAACTTTTTATAATCTTTCGGAGGCAATTGTGGGAAATGTTTTTTATTTTATTTTTGTAGCACAGAGACAGAAGTGAAAAAAAATCTGCACAGATCTGCTCACCCTGCCTAGTCGGAGCCTCTCTGTACGCAGTCAGTGTGACATGGAAAAAATCATATCGGAGAAAAAAAAAACAGTCATACGCAACGTTTGTGACCTTGCCTTAATAAGGAAAGTAAATGTTATCATTTACTTTAGCTACAACCACAGAGACCAAAAAGTGGTCGAGTAGTTGATTTTAGACATAAGCCCCCTAGATGAATTTATACTCTGTGGTTAAATTAAAAGCTATTTATTACTAACTGATGAGTAGAAGAAGGTAACTGAAAGAAATACTTTTTCCTGCCAGCCTAATGGCACGTAAGAAGCCATTGTTTCTGAAGCTAATAGCCTTTTTTGCATCCATAGCTAAGGCATGTTCACATGGACATAATTGGTATTATTAGATTTTTTTGAAACGGAACACATTTCAGTCTGATTAAGAGATTTTGAAGAAATGTAAGCATGGCTATAGCTATGAATAAAGCAAATACATATCAGAGAACCGACAAAAAGAAAATTATTTAGATTTTTTTTTTATTATTTATTTTTTTAAACGGAGCAAAGTTGTTTATTTGATAAATCATAAGACAATTGATCGGTTTCCTTTATCAGGGGAGGCCTTCAGCTGTCACAATTGATCTGTGTGTTAGGAGCTTTTTGTATTTCAACATGCTTTTATGTTGTGGCAAAGCAAGCGTCTGCTTCCAAACGTCTTCTTTTTTTAGAAGAGCATTTTCTGCAGAAATCCTCCACTTATGGCCTGTCGTCTAAGCAAACTTAAATGGCTTTACTTTGTTCTGATTGCTCTTGTGTTGTCATGGTTTCACATCCATTAGCGGAATAGCTGGAGATTTGTTTGACATAAACTGAGGTAAAAGCACTCAGTGTTTGTCGTCTTAAAATAGTGGCGGCGTTTCTCTGCTGAGGTGTCTGTTGAGCGGGTGAGTGGTGGCTTTGAAACTTGCCAAGCAATCGAAGTGTCCTTAAGAGTCTCTCAGATGGCAGCGCAGTATTCCTCCTTCAGGTTTCTAAAGTTAGGGTGAAGTGCAAAGATATGTGGCTCATTTAATCCCTTTCTGAAACTTTGTTAAAATTTGAAAGCTTTGGAGTTTTCAGGCAGATTCTCATTTAAAGTCTCAGACTGTGATTCTGACTCTTATCAGCCATTAAAATAGGGAAGCTTTGCTTTGCTGTTTCTTATCGTCTTATCTATTTTCTGGTCTGTTTTCTTGCTGTCTCACTACATTGTGTTTAAGTGTTAGCCGCGTTTCATTTTCTTAGGCAGTGGATCCTGTAAAAGAAGAAAAACAAACTAAATCTTTCTGAAAAGATATTAAAATTTGATATTTTTAAAATGACTTTGTGTCAAAGTGACTGGTAGCGCCCTTGTTATTATCCCTCAAAACATTTTTCGTCAATGTCTGAAACTAGACAAGCTTATATTCAATTTTATTTTGATTTGTAGTACAAAATTACACAAATTTCAACTGTTTTTTTTGTAAAGCACCTCAAGCATGGGCCTGCTTTATGGGGAGAATCTGTTCCCTGAAATCTTAGCTCTTGCCAAGGGTTCCTAAGTCACTTCATTTCTCGACTTTGACTAGAACCTTCCTACATATTAAGATGCTTTGATTTAATCCACTCAATTGTAGCTTAGGTTGTAGAGTATGTATGCACTTCATGACTCCTACAAACTATAAACTTAAGGCTTTTCCTTGTAATGGGATTTTTTTCTATAAAGGCCAGATTTTTAAGGTGGAAGAAAAAAAAGATTGTCCTTTCATCACATTCTGCCACCTGAGTGGTCAATCTTGACACCTGTCCAGAGTTTTCATTGGCCTCCTACCTGCTACTCTAACTGGCGCACTGTCTGCCCAGGCCCAAGTGGCTTTTTTTTGTAAAAAGAATATCTTGTACAACTCTGGGGGGGGGGAAGAAGAAGAATAAAAGCAAAATGGCTGAGAACTCTAAAACAATAAAACAACCACAGAGTCTGAATGGAGCTTACATCAGTATTTATTTACAGTTTTCATAATAGTCGACACGGGGAAGAAGGGTGACCCCTATGTGGAATGTTTGAAATAATTCAGACTTAAAAGGTAGAAAACACAAAGTAAAACAATAGTAACAGAGGTTTGAAAGGACGGCCTACAAAAGGTCACAAAAATGTAATCCATCGGTTTTCCTTTCATCAGAAAAAATGAGAAAAGTAAAAAATTGTCCATTCCTGTTTATAACTTAAACGCATAAAGTTTCTCCAATGTTGCTTTCAGAGCCGTCCTCTGTGTCCTCATGGTGGTGTTGACTATCCAGCAATAATTCACATAGTAGTTTGTGTTCGTAATGTGATTAACAATGCAGACAAGTTCAAGGATTCAAAATGCTTTAGAAGACAAAAGAAAGATGCGTTTGATGTCCTCTGAAATGAATGGCCAAATGAAAGTGGTGATTAGCACAAAGAGATGTGACCTTTACTTGTTTTCCTCTCCAGCTCAAAACTGTTCAGGACTGCGGACGTGCTCCCAGTGCTTGGATCAGCCCGAGTGCGGCTGGTGTGGCGACCCCAGCAGCACAGGGAAGGGACTGTGCATGGAAGGGTCTTACAGGGGGCCCATGAAAAGAGCTGCAAAGCAGGGCCAGCAGGGCCATTCCCATGACATGAGCCTTGAGCCTGGCAGTTGCCCCAAAGACAAAGGATTTGAATGGGCCTTCATTAGCTGCCCTGGTGAGTAATATACACCCCGTCCCACCTTATAGTATCTCTACTACATTATTAGGTATTGACCGTTGGGTTGTTCTGATTTTGGTCTGAAAAGATATCCATGTATTGGAATCTAGTTTCAGCTGCTGAATGCAACCAATCCCTCCCTGATGACTTTTGCAACCTAATGCTACTCTCCCCCTTTAATTTTCCTTCCGTTCCACGCTTCAACACATGTTATCAGATAACAATATAACCCTTTCTCAACGCGATAATGTGATCAATCCAAGGTTGTTTTCTGCTATAAATTTTAATTTATGGAAATTACCACATTTTCTTTCTGGTTTTAGTATATCCAAAGGCTAATTTAAAGTTGTTCCAATAAATGCAATTCCAAAAAGAAGCAATGATTTTTCAAAAGTGATTCCTATAACATGGCTGCTGGCAGCATTAATGGGTTTCAACCGTAGCTGTAGTAAAATTCCTAAATCCCGCATCGACTCCATGACACTCGGGTTTATTGACATGCATTTTTAAATCATCCTTCTTCTTTCAGGTCTTTTTATCCTCTTGTCTTGATATTGCTTTCCAGCATGCCAGTGTAACGGCCACAGCACGTGTGTGAACGGCAGTGTGTGCGAGCAGTGTCGCAACCTCACCACTGGTCCTAACTGTGAGACCTGCATGCCGGGTTACCACGGAGACCCGACCAATGGCGGCAAATGTCAGGGTGAGTGGCGCCCTTTTTTATGACTTTATTTATTCCTTCATATAATGAAGACTTCACCCAGTTGTCATTTCTTTTTCCTCTGAATCAATCAGTAGACAACAGTTCAGTATTGGGTTTGTTTTAATTGCCAAAATAAAGATCTAACCTGGATTATTTTATGGAGTTGGAATATCTAGCTTGGGTTTGGTTAAGCTAAGATTTGTGCAACGTTTAAAAGATCCAACCAAATAGTGAGAATGTATTGTGCAAAAAAAGTCCCAAATAATGCAAAATGTCTTTAATCAATCAAGAAATTTCAGTTTGGAAAATTGTGAAATGATGCAAACAAAGATTTTTCTCAGCTATGTTAATATAAAATCGTATCCATTGAAGTTCACTCTAGGTGAATTTAGAGAGCTTTCAAACACAAATGCCTTTTATGCAGAGCCTTTTACTACACCCAGGGAGGGATACATGATAGTTTTTAGAGGAACCTGATACAAGTTGTTTTGAAAATGGTGAAACAATTTCCAACAAAAGCTCCTTTCTTTCAGTTGTTTGACCAGTTGTAAGACTTCTTTATTAAGTGGTTTACAGAACTGGTTTTATTTCCTGTGTCTCTGCCAAACAGAGAACATCGTTGTTGAGCTGGTGCAGACTATACTTTAGACTTAATTCCTGTTTTCAGTGGGCAATGTTTTTACTGTAGTCCCTGCTGAATTTAAAAAAGTAGAACGTCTGCAATGACAGCAGAGTGTAAAGTCCGAATAGGGATTAAAGCATCAGTGTCTGATATCCACTGAAACCCCTGAACGTTGCCTGATGAGAAAGATGAGACTTGATTTCCCTTCATGTCTTTTGCCATGAAACATGAATTGCATTCCTCAGAAATTAGACACATGTATTTGTATGAGGTGTCGGACGATGAGTCACTCATCCTTACATTCAAAAACATAAAGCTGGGTGGATTTCCTTTCCTTACATACTTTAATGCTGATGCAGTTTTAAAGCTGTACAGTGACAGTAAACAGCATAGCACCTTAAATAATCCTTCCATTTGTTTCTGTGGGTGGAAATCTCATTTCTGTCATTGAAACCTGCAAGTTTGAATGAAATTGAGGATGCATCACCTGCTTCAGTTTGATCTTAATTACGATAATAAACATTCATATTAGTTTAAAAAAAAAATGTAAATTCATTAAAAGAAAAGCCTTATCTGTCTATGAAGACTGTCAAGTCATTGATTTCAGTACAATTCATGCTAAACGGGTAAAATTGCAGTAAGTAAGCAGAAGTTCTAATCGTTTAGCAATGAAAAATTGGAAAAGCTGTTTGGGTAAACTTATATACCGGTATATATAATATTCCAAGTTTTGACTGCAACCATCTCAGCACTACTGGAAAATCTTATAACTTTAGATGCAAGCAGATTACAGAATATACACATTTTACGAGGCGTGAATAGAAAGTCTTCAGATTGAAATGGTACAAACTAAATAGGTTTAAGTAGAAGTTCTGAGAAAAATCATTGTTGTCATCTTCTTTAGTTACTCCACCCTTTGTAGCCATAATAGCTTAAGGGTCAAACTGAGTTTAACACATAAGGTGGAAATACTTAGAGCTTGTTTTTCCTAAATATATTAGCTTACAGCTTATTATTTCCAGGTGATTTTCTTGATTCTCATACAGCTTCTAAAGTCTTCATAGCAGAAACTACACAAGCACAATTTGCTTTATTTATGCTTTAATAAACCTTATTTATGCTTTTAAGTCCTTCAGTGAAAAACACATACTTTTGCAACCAGCTGAGTTTCATTTCCTCTAGATTTCTTGGTGGAATTTCAATTATATTCAATTCAGAATACTTTATTAATCTCAAAGGGAAATTAAATAAAAAACATGAAAAATAAAGATAAAAAGATGAAGTTGTGAAACGTAGCTAATGAAAAACCTGAAAGAAAGAGATTAGACACTTTTTTTTTTTTAAAGCACTCTAGTAAATTAAGATATTAATATGCACTATGGTAGAATTTGGGGTGGAAGGTCTACTGACCCCTCAGTAATTTGTCTTCTCTGTATTTTTTTAAAGTTGGTGAACTAAAATGAAGGGGTCTCTTATTTTCCATCAAATGCTAACCTAAAAGCCTGCCGCGGTCGAATCATTTCAGAACCCTGTCCACCCACCTATCGCGGCATTTTCGACACAGACTCTCAAACACCCGGGGGTTTGGTGTGTGTGTCTATCAGATCTTTGAAGTTCAGCCTTTCTTTTGGGAAATCCAATTGTTTACCGTAGTCCCCAGATCAATATCAATCTTTCCCGTGTGTTTTCTGCAACAGAAGAAATCTGAGGCGTAGCTTAGCCTCGACAGCAGGAAACTGCTCACCGAGTACTTTAAATTGGAAGAACAATTTCTACAGCACAGAATTGTCTCTTTTGTGTTCCTCAACTCAAATCTTCATAGTAAACCACTTTTTACATTTATCAGTAAATTCCTCTGTTATTTTTAATTTGTTCTTTTTGTCTCAATGTTTGATCTATCTGTTCTTGTCGCCTGTTTCAGCTTGTAAGTGCAACGGTCATGCAAATGTATGCCAGGTGTTGACGGGGAAATGCTTTTGCACCACCAAGGGAATCAAAGGAGACCAGTGCCAGCTGTGAGTACAACAGCCTACAGCTAAAACAATGAAAACAAACACTCTTATCCTCTGGTTTATGGCTGCAGTTTTTCACATCCTGTATCCTGGTTTAGGCATAAAAAAAAGTCACTTTTTTTCCCCGTCTAAACATCATCTTAATGTCAGTTAAAGATGAATAAAGAACAAAGAAAGTTGTGGCTGATTTAGAGAAGAAGAAAGAGGCATAAGATTTGTTGACATTGTTTTTTACGAAATGAATGCCATTCATGGTTGTAATCCACATTTGATTTCACATGTGCTTTTTCATAGAAATAGTTGTTTTAATCTGAAGTAATTATTGATCCATGGTGACCACTTGTATATTTAAATATGAAATCCCTGATCCAGGCTGTGTGGGAGAGCAGATGACATAAAGGTTGAACTTTTGCTTTCTTTTATCCTTTAAAGCGTCAAACTATTTGTTTTTGTTGAAAATGCTGGATTTTAGAAGGCTGATATTTCTTTGCCAACTGTGCTAATTGCTAATAAAATATGCTCTACTCTTAAGATCCTATCAAAACCTTGTTTCACAGCGACTGCTTCCTCACACCCTGTGGGACATCAACTCTTCTGCTATACATAGTTAATGACTCCTCACTGCAGGAATGCAAGAAAAGCACATTTGAGACCCTTTTCTTCTACTGTGGTTTTTAAAGTAAACATTAGACTAGACTGAAACTTTATAATCACGGGTCATGGTAATAAACGGACGGAAAGTCAGCCCTTAGGTTCAGATGAGTACATTTCTAGAAAACATAATTCTTTGGATTTCATTTGATGCTTGAATACAGTTTTTAGAAGCAAGATTTAAATTATTTAACAATAAGTCTGTTTGCTAGATAAACAAAAAACACTTGGAAAAATGCATTAAAAAAGGTATAATAATAACAACATTGTAGTGGCTAAAATCTTATATTTTAGATTACTCTCCTGGTAAGCTTTGGCCTTTCATGTACTCAATCAAGAATATGCAGGTCTTCTTAAGAGTTATGCTTAAAGCCATTTATTTTCCTATATCCATTATCTTTCCATTTCCATTTAGAACAAAATAAACCAACATAACTTCTAACAAAGCACAGTAAAAAAAAAATAAAAAAAAAGTTTGCCTCTTCTTATTTAGCAACACCTGAGCAGAATGACACTTGACCTTAAATAACCCCATCCCCCTTCCAGTGTGATCAGATCACAAAAGGGCAGGAGTGGCGGCCTAGTGGTTAGGGCATAGAGCTTGGAGGTTCTGATTTCGAGCCCTCAAGCTTTTCCTCTCCACTGTCGCTGCATACATGTTTAATGTGAGGGATTGCTGTAGAGACAGACTTTCACTCTTGTGGCAGTCTGATGTGAATTTCTTCTATATAAAGAACTTTACACTGTACTTTTGACAGTGTAATGACATTAAAGCTGGAAAAAAAATGAAGGAAATGCAGCCCCTGGTGGAGATAAATACAGAACAATAAGGTGGAAAATTGATAATTTCTTTACCACAGCTACTACTTCTGTTGATGATAACGAAATTGATCCATAACAAAAATAATCAATCAGATATACTAAATTGTAGTATGAATTGTTGCTGCATTTTTGTATTCAAATCTGAAACAACTATATGCCCATCATGTAAGTAAACAGCTCTATATGGATCAAATGCAATCAAAAATCTAACTTTGAGTCCGACAGCCCCCCTCTTTCAATTACACGTTGAGATTGATGTGTATATGATTAATTCAGGACGGATGATGCATGGCTTTCGTGACGCTGTTGTAAGCGTTGATGTCAAATCTCTGCGAGCCAGCTCTGTTTCCTCTCACATGGAGTCTCAGATGTGGAGATGCTGTTGATTTGATGGGGATAAAAACGACTAGGGATCAGTTGCATTATCGCCCAGAAAGTCTACATCCACTGTGATTTATGCTGAGACGGTGGATTCCAGCCGCGTGGGAGGACCATTTACTTTAAACTGGCACTTTTATTTATTTATTTATTTATTTTTTTTACAGCTGGAAGCAGGATAATGCAGTAGAGTAATGGTGGGGTCACAGGCAAAGCTGAACAAGCATTTATGCTTTTTAAACATAAAACCTAACCGTTTTTTTCCTCTTAAGTCATTTTGTTCAGATGATGCACACCTTTGGATTTCAAAGTTATAAAATTTTGCCCCATAGGTAACATAATTAACTCTCTCCTTTTTTAATAGCATTTAACATTGTAATGAGATGTGGCTTTGTTAAAGGCTGACACTGTTTCCTTTTTAGAGGAAGTCTGGAAAGAAATACTTTGTAGTCTGTGTCAGGATGTTCTATCCAGTTATTTCCTAAACCTGTAGCTCCTGCTGCTTTTAAGCTGTTTGTATGGCAGCACTTTGGCTGTCTCCTTGGAGAAATACACAGCGATGGCGGAGAAACAAACCATCAACACTTTTAAAGTGTCTTTATGGCTGCTGCATTCCACCACGGAAGTTGTCCTTGATTTTCAACTTATAGTTCAAAATCGAATATGCCAACTCTGGTCTTACAGAACCTGAACCATTTTTTTTAACAGTGCTTAGAGACTTTTTGAAGTACAGTGGATTTATTCATTATATATCTTTATTATTACAAATGATAAAAATAATGGTTTTTAATTTTATTTAAAGTGTAAGATCCATCATTATCTGTGAAAGCTCTTCTGGACGTAGTTAAAAGGCTTTAAAAATTTTAAATTAATCACTTATACTTTAAGATTTTACAGTATCTTGCCGGCTCTAACCTCAGTTTCTAGATATATTCTGAGCAGAAATTGATCAGAGCTTAGTTTTTGGTTCTTTTTTGTTTGATTGTAGGTATTCTCAATTTTTTAAAATGGCATAAAGAGTGATTTTGCTACTTTGCTCTTTTAGACATTATCACGCCCTAAAAAGTGAGAACTGGAGCATCATTCAGTGACTTCCGCTTCTTTTAAATACAGCTCATTATTTCTGAAACTGTTACTTTATTTGCAAACATGATTCATGGTTTAGTTCTTGGCTCGTGTGAAGTTTTTCTTTTTCCATCAACCGAAAACTCTCTGGCTGCTCAGAACATAGAAGACTCAGAAAGCTGCAGCTCTTTGTGTCCAACTTTCTTAAAGAAAAGAATCGATGTATGAATGCAATACAATGATGTATAGATTATAAATGTAAGTTGAACTAATTGATATTTATTTCTTCTATATAAATAGCTTGGCTCATTTCAGTAATTTAGTTTGAGGTTTTTTGGTTCAAAATTGAAAAATTTTGGATTTTGTCGTGTCTTTTCATACTGGCTTGTTGCTACGGAAACCAAATACATTAAGTCCTGATTCTAATATTGTTAAAAATGTTATGTTTTCTACGCACGAGCTTAATTCAGCTTCACTTTAAATTTAATACTGTGCTATGATAGAACAAAAAGCAGCATCCATATATTATTTTTACTTTGTAAATTATGTTTTTTATAATGTTATTGTTCCTAAGATAGCAATTAAAATGATTAAAGGTATATAAGAGGGGCTTCAGGAGAGTAATTCCAGAAAGCGATGGATTCCCATTGCTTTCTGTTAACCGTTATGCTGAATTTGTTGCACTTTGCACAATCGACAAAGTGCCACATTGATTTCTTCTTCCAGAAAATGCAGTGCAGAGCAGTGATTAGCAGACCGCAGCACAAGGCTACAAAATACACAAATAACACACATGTAAACATCCACCTGTGCTTACACTCAAACCGCAGATGCCATTAGGTTTTTGAAATAATAGCTTTACTGATGAAGCAAAGAGTGCATTAATGCAGAATAATAATTGTTTTGAGCTAATTTTGACCATGGTACATTGCTGTGATCAGTCAGTGGGAAACTACTTCTTCCTTTTTGTTCATTTTTAAGGGAACTTAAATTATAAAAAAATGTTTTATGCAGGAGGCACTAGTAGTAACAAACTTTGCTGTAACTAAAGCAGCCTGTGCTTATATAGCGCACAGCCACAAAGGTTGGAGAGGAGTGTAGATCAAATTAAGATACAGGGAAGGGGGATTGCCTGAAGTTTGGATGCATGAATGGATGCATGCTGGTGTAGATTAAATTAAGATACTGAATGAGTGGAGAAGCTGAATTATACTGATGAGTAAATGGGTGTGTGGAATTTATTCCTCTACAAATTCCAGGAAGTTGAAATACTTTGGCCCTATCCAAACAGAAAATATTTAGCCCTTCAAGCTATGGATCCAAACAGCTGGCATTTTTGAGGGAGCATAAATTATTCGTTTGGAAACAAAAATAAAAGAGAATGCAATGTTTGTGCTTGCAAGCTACATTTTTTTTAAATTATAAACAATTATGTGTAGCTCAAGCTTCCGCTGTAACCCGCCTTGTTGCTGTGTTTACCTCGCATTGACTGTCTACGCGGCTGAATGTCCACCCTAATCACTATATATGGCACTATATAGTGTTTGCATAGTTATAGATGAGTTTCCGAACGTCTAGTTCAGGGGTCGGCAACACAAACTGCTCGAAGAGCAATATTGAAACAAAACAACAAAAAACAAATCTGTCTGGATCCGCAAAAATGTAAAAGTCTTATATAAGCTTGGTATGGCAACATGGGCTCTAAGTGTATTAGACCACTATAAAAAAAAGGACTAGATGGTCTTAAATATATAATAAGCATTCATAATTAAATGTTAATTCTGGAGCAAATGTCAAATAGTTGCATGAGGCGAGGGAGGAGCAGTGAAACCTTTTACTGCATGGATTTCACCCCTCACAGCTTCACCGCCCTTCACCACACGGTTTAAGTGTTGTTGCATTGATGAAATTATAGAAATGCAATAAAGGAATCTTTTTATATTGGATATGTTTCTGTTGGGAGGAGTTGATTGAGTCATGAGGAACCAAGCTGGAACTGACATCCATCAGAGCAGAGGTCTCTAACCCCGAAATCCCACATCCATCTTCACCAGCGTTTCTTGGTGATATTTTTATTTTGAGGATTTGGAGGGATAAAATGGGGGAAAAAATCACATACCTACATCAAAGAGCTACCTGTTTGATCTGTGGATGGTTTTTTTCATGCTTGAAACAAAACTAGCAGCAGTAGTGGACTTTGGGATGCAATACATTTCTTAAATCTATCTTTTTGCTCCTCTAAACTTTCCAGAAATTCTCCAATCGCATTCTTTCCCTCATTCACAACTTTGTGATCGGCTGCATATTTAGCCTTCCCTGGTAATGCTTTTCCAAATTACAATTTTTATTATTTGACAAATTGTCATGCCAAAGCAAAAATGCAGGCAATCCTTCCGCATTGATAATGAAAGCAAATGATTTGGTCCATACTTCTTTGAATCCCCTGTTCTCATCAGGTATCTTCCTTTTTTTCCCCTTTGGGATCAATGGCCCAAGACACACCCGCCGCTTTCTTTGCCTGGCACCGCTCCGCGCTGAGACATGTGTTACAGGCTTCGACCACTGATCTCTATTGCTATGACGCACATTTTCGTTTAAATTGATGTTTACTTATTGTATTTATTGTACAAAAAAAGCATTGGAAAACATAATGAATGTCTGTTTGACCTCCTGCACACCATATTAAAATAAGCAAATGAAAAAAAATTTTTTTCATACATTTTTGAAAAAGCTCCAGGGAGCCGCAAGGGGGGGGAGCTAAAGATACGCGGGTTGCCGACCCCTTGTCTAGTTGATGAAAAATGAGTGGACTCAAAATTTCCCACCATGCACTTTAAAAAGTAGTGATCGCCCATGGTCACCTGACAAGCAGCCATATCCCGGAATGCTTTGAAGGGAGAGCTTTCCTTGCTAAGCATTGCGGGATTTGTTATAACAGTGGCCCGACAAATAACAAAGATAGCGCAGGCATTATGAGTCACATGATGGAGTCACATGACAAACCAGGGGTGAAAGTAGTGATCATCGGTTCGAACGGGCGGTTAGCTGAGTTAATTATGGCTACATTCACACTGCATGCCTTGATGCTCAATTCCGATTTTTTTTTTTTTTTGTGAAAGCCGATTTTTTTTCATTGGCATTCACATTTCCAAATACATGCGACTTGTACGTGATCTCCTGTGTGAACTGCATTCATTCAGCTTAAGTGTCCCATGTACGCAGTACAGGACGTAATGACTTCACAAGCCACCGTGCTCTATGTTTACAGAAGTAAACAAGGATGGTAGTGCTGGGGCGCATCTAGCGATCTTTACAAACCTTAAAACCTCAATCTTTTCAAGATGGTTAAAAAAGAAATACTACTCTCTGCATCATCGTCCACCATGGTTGTTGTCTTTCTTGCCGCTTCTGTGTAGCAAGACCCAGAATAGTGACCTTTGTCGGGTATTATTGGCGTTCAGATTGGATGAAGGCGACCTGGCCGTTCACACACAGGTCGCATTTGAAAAGATCAGTCGTATCGGATTCAGGACCACATAGACAAGTGGCCTGGGTCGCATTGGAAAAAATCTGATCTGTGTTTTTCAGACAACCATAAAAAGATCAGATCCAGGTCGCATATGGGCAAAATAATCGGATTTGGGTCACTTCAGGCTGCAGTGTGAACGTAGCCTTAGAGACTATAAATCTTCTTCCAGAGTTAGAAAAATGAAGTTCCCTGTGATGGAGATCAAAGTCACTTAAAACTGAAATTGCTATCTGTCGTACAGTAATATGATTGTTGGGGCTCACCGATCACTACCTTTGGATGGGAACTCCTCTCTTTCAGAGCTGTATGATCAAACCACAACACCAAGAAAAGTGATTGGATAAAAACACAGCATTAATAATGGATCATGGTTCTGTCAACATTAATGGCAATTTATTTAAGCAGAAGAGATTCTGATACGACTTTTTTTGCATGTTGATTCTAGCTCAATAGGACAACTGATATAAACCAAAGGTATTTGTTAATATGCACACTAATGATTCCCTGATCATTGATAAAAGTGACTTCTAAGGTTTTCCTCTAAAATCGATCAGTTCTAAGCTAAAGATTTTTAAGGAGACCATTTTAAGGAGTCGTCCACCACTGGCTCATGGCTGGCTTTGATTTCCTGGAGCAAAGTTCCAGGACTTTCACCAACATATTGTATATTAAGTTAAACTATGGAGCCTACTGAGTAAAATGTAAAGTTGCACTGTACTAAAAGCCAAATAAAAAGTCTAAAAATTAAAGCCAAGCATCCCTTTAAATCTTTTTAAAACCCAAAAATGGGTTTTGCTTTTGAAGTTTTTTTTTTTTGTTTGCTACAAAGAATTAGAAACTTCACAAACTCAGAAACGACACAAAGTGTTCCCTGCGTTCTTCAAATGTGGCAGAATATTTTAAGAATCAGAGTCAGCCCATTTCCAATGCAACACCGCCTCACAGCCACCCCCTCCTCCTCAGTGGCGTTTTCGTCTCTCAGCCGGCTTTCCTCCCGCCCGTCACCGGCCTCTCTGACTCCTCAACACCGCCTCTGATTTTTCACATTCTAACAACTTTAATTAGTCGTTCAAAAAAAAAGTTGATAAAACTGTGAGGAATGGTTTATGTGATGACAGAGGTAATATTTAGAACAACTTTCACTTTCTTTGTATGGTTCCAGAATCCACAGTATATGGTAATACTTTAGAAAAACTGTTTCATGGTGAGCTGCTTAGACTTCAGAACATAAACAAACCGGGAGTGAGAGATGCATTTAAATAAGATAAAGGGCAATGCAGTCCAGTGAACATGACCATATGCTCGGATTGATTAGAGGGCTTTGGAAAGCCATGAGGCTAATAAAACACTCTAATGTGCACACATATTCTCAGAGTAGTTGACGTTCCCTCTGTGGATATAAACAAATTATTTTTACTTGGCAGCTCTTCATTTATAAAGTTTGCCTGTTTTGGCTGATTCCACAATTTGACACACTGCTGCGGTTGCAGCTAACGTTAATAAAATAGTCTGTTATCTGGTCTAATTGTAATGTTTAATGTGACTGGACATGTCTCTACTTACAAACCTTCCATAAAAAAAACTAAAAATACAGTGAAAAACAAGCAGAAGTAAGTAAATTTTTCTTAAAATTAATGCATTTTTTCAAATTGAGACACTTTGCTAATGGAATAAAACAACTTACATTTAAAATAAGGAAAACATCTGCAGTTTCTTATTTAAATATCTTATTTTAATATCTAATTATTTAATTTTAAGGGTAAAAATACAGATTCCATTGGCAGGTAATCTTATTTACCTGCTGAAATTACTGTTAAACAGACGTTATCTATTAAATTATTACTCTTTTTTTTTTTTTAGATCATCTTTGCAGAAATCGGCACAATTATATTTCTTTGTTCATCAGCAGATATTATTTTGACACTGAGTTAAATGATTTTAATAATCCCAACATATCTAAAACACAAATTGTTTGTCCAATTTAAGACTTTTGGCAAAGAAATGATCAAATCCCTTTTTTAAACAGGATATTTATTTGTTCTGATTTTGAGTTTTTTTTTTTTTTTTCCTAAATGTATGATTAATGATTAATTAATCTATTTAGGTCTATATCTTAATTTAAATTGCTGTTGATATTTATTTATCTATTCACAACTCATGTAGACATATTTTTATTTCCAGTGCCAAGTTCTGTCATCTGTAATCAGGTGCATATAAACGTTCATGTCATTGTTTTTGGTTTAGTAAAAGTTAAGAAAAGCCTGTTTAACTTCCATAAACTGTCAGATTCTTTCTCCTGTCAGAAGTTAAGAGGCTTGATGAGGTGCCAACAGAAGGAGCTAATGCGCTGGCACTTGGCATACTCTGCACCTGATAAGAGGCGTTGTTTTTGTCTTTTAGCGCTCCTCTTCATTTGCTTCTCCATGTTCTCTTTCCCTTCAGATGTGACTCAGAAAACCGTTACCTTGGTAATCCACTCAGAGGAACCTGTTACTGTGAGTGATTCTCCGCTGGACTACTACCCGCACACACGTAGACATTTCACAGGCTATTCTCTCTTTGCTTTCCTCTTTTTCCCACTTCTCTGCTAGCACACTTCCGCTCAGGGCAGATGGCATCTTAGCACTTTGGCACCAGGGGCCCATGTTCGATGACAGAATGACTTGTCGTGAAAATGTCAAGTGCATCACAGGGAGTGAGTGATTGAGCTAATCAAGGAGACGGAGGAGTCAAAATCCTCCACTTGTCTGCTCACTCGATGGCACACCTATTCATTTAGAAATTTGATGAAAAGAAAGCGTAACTTGGAAGGAAAGGAAATACCAATGAAAGTGCAAGAAATACATGTCTGCATCGATACCTGCTCAGACCACTTTCTGTGTCTATTTGCACGACGGGGTGTCCTTCACAGTACCGCAGAAGTACTTTGTGATTTGTTATGTCTTCCAGCGCTGATGTTGCAAACATCAGAGCCTTTACCAAGGCTTTGTCCCTTTTGAAATGTCGTAGCCTGACAACGGGCTCAGTGAGGAGGAGACTGGAAACTAAAACCCTGAAGCCTGTTTTAACCTCTGGACACCACTGGAGCTCCTTGTGCTTTTTTTTTTTTACGCTGCTTTGTAAACGCGACACTCCCTCCAGTCAGAAAGGCCAGCGAGCACACGTTTAGCAGAGCATGCTCAGGGTGACACTGCTCAGCTTTGTCTCAGGGTTTGTTCGTGAGCTCTCTCTCTCCCCCCCTCTCTCTGTCTTTCTCTCTCTTATTGATCATTTTGAGCTTAATGTCGGCTTCCAAGTTTAAGACTATATTCTTAATCCCATCTTGTTCACTTAAGCAGAAAAAACCCTTTCTGCTTTTACATCTTGCATGTTTCACAACAATTATGCCAAGAAATGTATACCAGCAAATTCAGGCTTTTGTACCTAAAGTAATGATTGAAAATTGCATCTGATGTTTTGATAATAGAGACAAATGCATGAAACACACTGAACAGTAACTTATTCAGTATCTCACTTAAGTACATAATAGGTCTGGATAAATGGACTTACTAGTGTATATATATGAAGAATGTTCAAATTGCCAAACATTACTCTACTTGTATTAATGATGTTTCTTTTGCAAACATAAATGTTAACACTTTTTAAAATAAAATTCCTTATAGCTTGTTTTCAGAAATCCTCCCCTTGTTCTTCTTCTTTTCTTCTTAATAGATAACCTCCTGATTGACTATCAGTTCACATTCAGTCTCATCCAGGAAGATGATAATCATTACACCGCCATTAACTTCATGGCCTCGCCTGAACAGGTAACTCGTTTAATAATAAATGCCTTTCCTTGACTTGTTTTCATGTATAAAGCTGATCATCAATTATCTTTTGTGATGATCATCATTATAAGTTGTTGATGTTGAACTATTCTGATATAAAACTGAGTTTTACGCACCAATGACTGATTGTACCTCTTGAACTATTGTTTGATTTTTTTCCTATCATGATGTGATTTTTTTTATTTGTTTATTTGCTGTTGAATAAATATGGTCTCCCTGCTAATATCTTTGATTCGGTTTTCTTTTTTTTAGGCAAACAAGAACTTGGACCTGTCCATCAACGCATCAAACAACTTTAACCTCAACATCACGTGGTCCGTGGGTTCAACAGGTAATTTTGTTCTTAAATAATTTTGCTTTTTCATGCAAACTGAAAATTAAGAAGGCGCCTTATTTCCTAATCATCAGCCCAATAACACATTTGTCAATGTTTTGCTTTGTTTTCTATTAAAATTTGTGTGGCAGTTTGCAGGAAAATGACTGGAAAAGCGGTAATTATTTTCCAGTCACACAGAAAAGTACTGTTTATATGTCTTTAGTTTTGTCATGGGTCATTACAGCTAATTTCGCTTAAATGTATGACTCTGAATTAAATTGTATCTTTCAAATATAATTACAGGGCTTACAATATGAGTTTTATAACTTTCCCTTTTAAATTATTATCCATATTGTAGCTGCCTGTTGTTGTTTTTTTTTTTTCATTTCCGCTTCAAGAATAAAACTGCAACAATTAAATGAGGAAAAAAAGCTGATTTTACAGCCAAAGAGACCCTACAGGTTTAATGTTGCATGAACTTATTCATCCATTGCTTAAGACGATTGTGACACAACATATATATATGGATTAATATGTGATGTGGAAGAAGTCAGTAAGTATTTTGTGAGAGCAGGATTTTTGACACCAAGCAGACTAGAAGCATAACCTTAATTATCATGCCTATAATTCAGCAAAACTAAAACACAAGGATCGTCCCTCTGCTCATATTCAGCTATACGTCTCTCCCAACAGCTAATCCTTGAGAATAGCATTTTTTTTATAAATAAGATTTCGCACAATAGCTCTGAACATTTAAATACAGGAAACTTTGTAAGTGCTTCTACAGTTTTCATACATTAAGATATTTGTTTTTGCCAACTTACTAGAATTAGCCTCCGACTAAGGCTAGATAGGTATGTTGAGGTTGGAGGGAAAGTTTTAATAGTCTTTGTTAAAGAAACAGTTTTCTTTCATTTGGTTGAGATGCTGAGCGAATAGAGCGGGAAGCTAAAAGCAGTTTATTGTGAATTTAAAGGAAAACCTTTGGAGACAGAGGTTTGGATTTATAATCAGTAATAAAGCAACCCAGCAGAGAACCTCCAGCACCATGAAGCAATGTGATAGAGTAGACTTAGACTTAGATTTATTTTGTCATTTTGTATGCACAAGTGTAAACAAAAAGAAATTTCATTAAGAACAGCCTTGAAAACAGTAAAAGAAAAATACATAGAAAAAGTAATGTAAACATAAGACTGTATATTTACAGTTCTAACATTTCATTTTTTTTATAATTAAATATAATAAAATACAATAAAATAACCCATTTTACATAACATTCAGCAGTCTAATGTCAGTGGGGAAGAAACTGTATAACTGGAATCTGCTGGATCTGCAAAGGATGCTTCAAAGCCTTTAACCAGAGGGCCGCAGGGAAAACTGTCCATGTTGGGGGGGTGAGGGGTCACTGATGATGTTACGGGCTGGGGACACGCAGCGCTGGGATGAAATGTCTTTAATGGAGGCAAAGAGGAGCCCCGATGATCTTCTCTGCTGTTCTCACCACTCTTCTCACCTCCTTCCAGTCTGAGGCGCTGCAGTATTGAATACTTGTAAAAAGTAAAAATCAAAATAAAGCAACTTGATTATTTAATGAACTCATTGCTCACAGCTTATGCCTCAGTCACCTTTATTGTCTGGGCTGCTAACTTACTGCCAGCTCTTTTGGTCATATTTGGCATAAATGTAGTCCTCCTCTAAGTTAAAATGTTAATTGTCATTGAGCATAAAGTGTTTCTGACAGTGAAACATCTATGTGAACAAAATAAGACATTCTTCCTTTTCATCTGTTCACTTTTACGATACTCCGCCATCAAGAAGCTTCACTGTGTTCTCAACAAGTGGCCACAGACCTAACTCTCTGTTAGAAAGTTTGTTTTTTTGGTTGACACCCGCAGAAGGTTGACTTTCCAGACGGCACGCCATCACTCCACATATATAAGTGCAATTTCATTTCAGAGGGACATGGTTCCAAACTCAGTTTCAGAAAAGCGTATTTTAAGAAGACTTAGTATTAGTCCTAGTACGAGTAAAGACTGTGTTTTTACTGTGTGGATCAATGTGGGTTTCCATTTTATAGCAGATTTCTGGCTGTTTATGTTGGGTCCTGAGTTCATGAACAAATGTTCTGTTAGCTTTTACAGTCTCCCAATTAACTTGATGCTGTAGGTCCCTGAGGAAAAACACCCAAGGACACTGCAGTTGTCCGATGCCACTGTTCATTTCCTGCTCTCCCTTTCTTCGCCTGGTGCACTCAGTTCATTCCGACCACACTGACATTTTCCAGCAACTAAAACAGGCTCACCTCGCACCCTTCTCTTCACCAACTTTAGCATTTTCAGTGTTCCATCATGAATATTTGAATCGGGGCCCCTACTTTTTCTTCAACGCAGATTTTCTTTTTTTTTCTTTTTTGTCTCTGAAGGAATAGAAGCCTCTTAACAATTGACAAGAGCAAGAGGCGCCTTTAGGTGGGGTGGGGGAAGGTGGGGGTGATTTCAATTAAGATAAACATGCTCACGTAGCGACACTCAAGCTGTCATTTCTGCTGCTTTTGTTTCAGAGTTGTGGATTGGAATATCAATGCTGGGAAAGCACTGACATAAAGAAGGAAAAGAAATCATTTTGGAAAATAAAGGCTGATGAGGAACAGGCTATTTTTAATATTTTTCCTTGAAAATACTTTTTATTTAAAAAAAAAAAACACCACAAAAGCAGAATTACTCGCATTTTTAACTGTTAACAGATGCATTTATGAATACTGGCTCTAATTGGTGCTTTCTTCCAATCTATGGACATTAAATGGGAAATTTGGGGTGTTATATATTCATAAAGAAGTGGGGGTCCTGAGTTAAGGGGTGTTTGTCACTGTACAACCTGAGCCTTTCACTTACATCCATGTCTCTTTATTTGATAAGCATTAACAATCCTACAATACTTCTTTTTTTTTTTTGCTAACTGCATTGAAGTTAAATGCAGTTAAGAAATAATGATAATTGCACATGAGTGCTCTCCTGTTGTTCGAAATGGACAAATAAACTCGTTAATGCATTTATAATCACACGTTGCAGTCAAAGCACCTTCATCTCGATATGTAAGGTTTCTTTTTTTTCTTTTTATTAAAAGCTAAATGGCTTTGTTCTAAAAACGGACACTTTGTTTTAACAGCTGGGACCATCTCTGGAGAGGAAGTGCCCATTGTGTCCAAAACAAACATCAAGGATTACAGGGACAGTTTCTCCTGTGAGAAGTTCACCTTCAGAAGCAACCCGAACATTACATTCTACGTGTATGTCAGTAACTTCTCATGGCCCATCAAAATCCAGGTAAGAACAACAG